TCAGGGCATAAGACTCCTGGGGAAGGGACTCCTGTTTGAAGAAGAAAAGAACACAAAAATGTTTCTAAAACCTGAGTATTCCCCCTCAAAAAATTCCTTCCCCAAAGCCAAACCTTGGCACGGGTCTGGAGAGGGAGGTGATAGGAATTAGGCAACCAGCGGGGAGAGAACAAGGCATAAGAGTCTCCTGAAAACGGGAGAGTCCTGCCTAAGAGAAAAGGATGCAAAATAAAACTCCTGGGTAGCCCCCCTCCAAAAAAAAATCCTCCCCAAAGCCAAACTCCGCCATGGGTTTGGGGTTGGGGTGGAGGCGGGTGACTCACCTGGGCCGGCTGGCCAGCCCCGGAGGGGGCGGAGTCGCCATGGAGGTGGGAGCAGAGGGAGCTGAGAAGGCACACGGGGTCCACGGTCCAGCCGCCAACCTGTGTGTGCGAAGGGGGGGACACCCCATTAGGGGGAGCGGGCAGGAGCCGCTGGGGGGCTGTGACGGGGCAGGAAGGGGCGTTCTCTCCCCCGGCAGAGGGCCCCTGCAGCATGACTAGTCCCTTCCGGAGGGAGGCGGGGTCTCTAAGAGCCCTTGGTCTGTTTCTGCACATCTCCCTCCTGTCAGAGGAGGGGCTCCCTAGGCCAGGGGAGAAGCTTCCCCATCAGCTACTCCTGAGGTCCTTCACTTCTCGACCGCCTCCTCGCACACTCTGCCAGGGAGCTGCTCCCCACTTCTCCCCTCCTCCAGCTCTTCGCTCCCTCCTCACTGAGGGTGTCACTTCCTACCTCACAGAGATGAGAACCATGGCAGGGGGCCTCGCCCAGTGCCCACTGTGCCTCCTTCCCCGCCCGGCCTTCTCCCCGGTCTTCTCAGAGGGATCGACTCTCCTCCCACCTCAAGGCCACACCACATCTAAAGCTCAAAGCCCATCCCCTTCTGATTCCCATGGCCCTCTCCCCCTCCACGTCTTCAAATTCTCCCATCTTCATTCATTCCACAAATACTTACTGAGCCAGCACACCGTGGAGGCACTGAGCACTCCATGGCCAGCGAACCGGCTGTAGGTCCCACCCACTTACACTCGGGGAGGGAATGAATGAGTTGATGAATAAAGGAATGAATTTGAGAGTGAATGGCTGGGCTTTCATTCATTTCCTACGTGTTTGCTGGATGCCTCCTCACTGCCAAAGAACATGCCAGACACGCACGAGGCCCTCAAACTCACCCACACCTTCTCTCACAGGCCTGCTGCCCCTTGTGGCCACCACCTTGGCTATCTTCCCCTTTTTCTGGCTGAACCTCCCCAGAAAGGTCTGCAGCCAAGGATCCTGTCCCTGCACCACCTCCCACCTCCTCTGAAACTGGCCATGAGCTCACCACACCTCAAGACATGAGCTCTCAGTCCCCTCTGGACCCAAGTATCCTGGCCGGTCCCAATGGCCATTTCTCTCCCCATCCCTCCTGACCTCGGAAGTGCAGGGGGCCCTCCTGCTGGGCCTGTCTCCTCTCCCTCAGGTGCAGAACTGTTCCTGGTCCTCCTTCCCCAACTGCCATGGCCTCTTCACTCTCAGGCTCCATCCTGCCTTGGTGGCCAGGCTATGCACCAGGTCCCACTTCCTTCTGACTCGGTCGTGCTCAGCCCTGCTCCCGAAGCTGTGGGCCCTTCAGAGCCTTGAGCTGTGCACAGTGTTTAACAGACATCCTGTGAACACCCTACCCGCTCCTCAAACTCTTCTCTCTGTTCCTGCCCCCCAAATTCCCCTCCCAATTCTCTCAATTCTCTCAAGGCACCAACATCTCCCTGTCACCCAGGTTTTCCTGTCTTTGCCTTCTAGACCAAGCCAGCAAACAAGCCTTGTTCAGTCTTCTTTCCCACCCCCCTCCCCATCTTTTCCCTTTTCCTCCATGACACTCTTCTTCCTCTCCTTCTCCTGCCTCCAGCCACCCTTTTGTCCCCTCCTATTCACCCCAAAAAACAACCACAGCCCTTCTAGCTACCACCATCGGGCCCCACTTTTCCAGTCAGACCCCCCCCCCCCCGCAGCCTCCTGCACCAGCCAGGTGGAGCTCTGTGCCCGTCCCCAATCCAGCTCTGCTCAAGTCTGTGCTCCCCTCTGCTCCCCGACACCTTATAAAACACCTTTCTCCTCCTGATGCCTCATCAGTCCTTTTCATCCGTCTACACCTACTTTAGGTACCTCCTCCTCCAGGAAGCTTCCCCTGACCAGGGCTGCCCAGCTGACCCCCTCCTCCAAACCCTCTCCCAATGACTGTGCTCCTCATATTTAGGTTTAACCATCCCTCCACCCCATCTAGATCACAAATGCCCCTGCTTCCTCTTCCCAAGCCGGAGCAAACAGAGGGGGACCCACAGAGGGGGACCCCTGAGAGTGGGGACCACATCTCCCTCATCTGTGACTCCCCCTATTCCAATCACAACTCTGCTCCCAGGACAACTCTGGAGCTGGTGAAAGCAAAAGCCGGACAGAACTAGAGCTGACATCAGGAGACAGATGAGGTACCAGAAATGAGCCAGTGCAACCTTATCCCCTGCAGTGAGGATGGGCAGGGACACTCCTCCCCTTCCCCAGCCACACCCAGCAGTGCCTGCAAACGGGGGACAGAGCAAGACAGGCCAGGGAGTGGGGACTGACACCCCCAGGCTGGACGGAGAGGATGCTGATGGCAGGGAGCACCCTCCCGCGGTCCCTTCCTCCACAGTGGACAGTGCCTGAGTTTTAGCAGCCACCAGGCCCCTCACCCACATGAGGCTGTAAGCAGAAGGCTGGTCCCCAGAGAGAACTTTCCTACAGACAAGATGGCCAGGTTTGGATGGAGAGATGCATCCAGGAACCCAAGGATCTGGGGGAGGCTGACAAGGGAAGCACCCCTTACCCCAAAATCGAAAGGAGAGCAGACAGGCCCTGGACGAGAGGCAGGAGCCCCAACCCCTCTCTAAGCCTTACTAATGGCAGGAGGGAAACCAAGGCACAGAGAGAGGGGGCCTCTCGCTCAAGGTCACGCCGAGTCCTGGGGGAAGGATGGGGGTGG